TTGCCAACTGTCGGAGGTTCTGTGGTTGTTTCTGACGTGCTCGCAGTCGTTGGTCCAGTGCATCCAATAAAGGTTCGATTGGGTTTACATCTGGAGACATGGGGGGCCATGGTATGACCTCAATGTTGTGATTCTCTAAGAAGTTTGTTATCAATCTTGCCGTGTGACGTTGGGCGTTGTCTTGTTGACAAATGACGTTCGCTTGTTGCATAATGGGAAGGACATGTGGCCGAAGTATCTCATCCGTGTAACGCTGTGCCGTTAAATTCCCAAGAACTTGCACCAAGTCTGTTCTATCAGCGTAGGAGATGGCTGCCCATATCATCACACTACCACCACCAAATCTGGCCACTTCCGGTATGAGGTTTCGTGCATAACGTTCCCCGCGACGCATGTAAACACGACGTCTACCATCCGCACAGCGAAGAATATAACGTGACTCGTCACTAAACCAAACTTGTCTCCATCGCAGTTGTGGCCTTGACGCCACTGACGTCGCAGCCTGCGATTCAGGTCGGTCAAAATGATACCTCGAACTGATCCTCTCGCGCGAATACCTTCATCACGTAAACGGTTCATCACTGTCCGGGCTGACATCCTACGCAATCCTCGTATTGCTGTAGTTGTAGAGGTGGCCGTGGTGGTTCTACCACGTAAGTGACGTAGTCGTATTATCTGTCCTATGACTAGTAGTTGCGTCCATTAGCCACGCCAGAAACCAGTGGTCGGGGCTTCCAATCTCGGTTCGCTCAGATTATGTTTCAAGGTTTGCCAGGGCATGCATGCATCAATTCATCTAGAACATCCTTCTAAAGCATTCATGAACCAACCATGTATTCCGTCTACCTGTCAAGTGCATCCATTCAGTTCTAATGCGGCAGAAACATTCACCCATCAAGACGTCTAAGTCATCCATCTCCCCACCTACGGTCTCCATCTATCCATCCTGGCTGCCCACGTCTCCGTCCATCCATCAGAGTATCCATGTAGCACGTCCATCAACCATCCATCCGCCCATCAGTCTGTAGCATCCTGTCTACACACTTAATAGGCCAAGGGAACAAACATATGTACCGAGATTGATACAGTCGACTGCATTAAGTCCCCACCATATTACCCAATCTGCCCCGAGTCTGCCCTTTTTAATAGCTAGTTGATAGTACAAAGATGTGAAAGAGAAAATTGCGTGAAAGATAGCACTTCAGATTAATGCGTCACCATGGAAACGTGGAAATCTCTACGGATTAGCAAGTATTTGATGACAATAAAACCCGCCCCAATGCTCCCGATCCTTTAGATTAAGATCTGTCAAGACAGAAACATCTCACCGTGGATGATGTCGTTAATGTGCGTGATGTGGGTCGGTAATTGAACAAGGATGTTGCCGCGAATGACTTCTGTCTTCGGGTCAGATGGCAACAATCCGGTTATAAAACTTTGGCTGATGTCATGATGTACTTTGTTTAGATTTAAAAACAAAGAACGAAAACGCCACGTTAAGCCCCATTTGCCTTTACCTCATCCCATCTCACAAGCAGCGACATGCGTTTATGAATGTATGTGATGTATATATTCTGTCACCAAAGTGAACCTCTTTTATCAATATTCCAATATCACTGCGGGGGAGAGAAATGAAGCTTCACACATTGTACCGATATGTGGAATCGATCTGGGGCCTTAGGCTTGACTAGTGAAAGCTTTAACCCCCCAACCCCCCAACCCCCCCCCCCCCCCCCCCCCCCCGCCCCTCTGACACAACAGACAGTGACATCCCAACATTTTATTTTTTTGTACGTCTATGTATTAAAGTGGACTAAGTCAATTTAGACTTGTATTCGGCGTTTATACTAACATATGAGTTTTGGAATTGAGTTACTTGGACAATAGGACTTATCAGAATATTATACACACCGGAAGTAAGAAAGCGTCCGCAATGCCCGCTTACAAAGGGAGCTGACGTTCAAAATTCTAATATCCGGAAGTGATTGACCAATTCCTCTACCCGTATTTAGCCCTCCCCCCTCCCTGGCGAGTTGGCTCCCTAAGGAAGGTGACCAGCGGTCATGCGCCCTCGGACATACCGGAGACTTAACAATGGCGACGTCTCTCAGATACGCAGACTGCGTAGCCGTGGTGAGAGCATTAACTTCAAAGTACCTTTACTAGAATTACCAGGGAAAGATTAAAAATTACCTCGAACAGAGCTTTGCCAATCATTGTAATAATATCGTCGAAATGATCGATAGTGATGGAATAGTGGGACTCTCGGGTTAATAGCATTAGAGAGGATAATAGGTCGACCGCCACAGAGCTGAGAGAGCGGTCGGCTCGATTGCTTACATACTAGTTAACGGTCATCACGTTATTTGCGAGCAAAAGGTCCGCATTTCATATAGTTCTGATTAGTAGAGTAGCGACGTTGATGAGTTCGGAGTGGGGTATATAAAGGCATTAGCATCGCTATCCCCAAGGCTCTGGGTTGTTGTCGTGAATTTTTGGTTGGACTTGTAACATGACAGTGAGTGTGTTTGTGAGTGTGTTTGTGAGTGCGTTTGTGAGTGTGTTTGTGAGTGTGTGATGACAAGATGGTATAGAAATGCATTTCTAAAACAATGATTTAGTGCTGTTGCGCCGTTTTAGAAGCCTTACGTCGGGAAATAACAGAAATAGGATTGATGTATGCGGATCAAGACGGTTCACCTATTTATTAATTACAATATCACCAGACACTCTTCAGTATAGAAACGACTCATGGCTATAAAAGTTGGGTGGGTGAAGGTTGTCTGAAGATTTGGCAGATTTTAACCGTCAAAAACGTTTGTTGTGTGTTCGATTATCAGATTCATCCCGATTTTGACCATTGGTTTGAGTGTTTCCTCCAAATTGTTAATACACAGCTTTTCTCAAACTGTCAGCTTATTATAAGGGAAATCCTGTTAAAACAAGCAAATAGCCCGCCATCAACCGAGAGAATCCAGACTTTGAATGAAACTCCCACGGTTCGGGGTAATCAGAGAAAATATTTTATCTTAATCTTTATTGTGAAGATTACTTGAGACGAAGTTGAACTAGGTAATGTCAATTTGTGAGAACCTGGCCTTTCCTAAGTTAGGAACCTGGCTCTCAAGCTCTTTGGCAAACCAGACTTTTTATAAAAAGAAGCATTAGGAAATTCATCGCAAAACACACCTTAAACTTTACAGACATCATCCATCCTTTGATCTATTTCGCCTGATATTGGCACAGATGTAGACGGAATATCCGCGCATATAATGGACCCGGAAGTGGTCGTGTAGCTCCCTATACACCGGATGTCTACGCTTTCCTGGTCAGGCGTAGGGATACAAGAAAGCAACAGAATGAAGGCCTTGGAAATACTCTGCTCAATGGCCCTCATTTTAGTTTGCTTGATGAAATCAACCAGGATGGAATTGGTTCCGCTCTTGTAGTATATCTTAAAGGGATTCGCAGACCTTATTTAGGAATTCTACATAGTGAAACTATAATACCCATATAATATGGTCAAAACATGTGCCTGCCATTTTTTCAACGTCCGTAATGAAGTACCCATTGAAGTAACATTATGAACTAAAAGCCCTAATGCTCTTGACCGGTGTTAAAGGACTCTAATGGCCAGAATGTTAAATTCCAGTTTGACCCAAAAAGAAATATTTTGTTTTAGCCTCGCCTGGTGATATCATAGTGTCACTCGGGACCTTTAACTTCGACTTTAACTGTTTCTCATTGAGATGAATAACGACAAACACTAATGTATAGCAGGTGCCCATTTTAAAAAGAACTTTGACTTTCAGAAGCCAAGCACGCATCCTTTGAAACTACATGCACACTTATAAGGAAGGTTTCTTCCGATACATCTCACGTTAAAGAAACGATATTGAATTCTGCCTACACACCATACTGAAAAGAAACCTCTGACAAGCCTTCAAGTATAACACGTTGCCCACGATATCGAAACTCTCAACACTGTCCTTGTTTGACGTTAATTCAGTCGCATATAGTCCTCTAACGGCCACAAGAAGCGTCTCCTCTAACAAGCTGTACATTATAGCGACAGTAAACTCCTCACCCACCTAGATTGTATGACGTTAACAAGGTTATCCATACTCCTAACGCAGCTGCGACAAGCGCATCCTCAAACACGCCCGAAAGCAAAGGGATCCTGGCCAAGCAATAAATACATTTTGCCAGTTCAGTGTCATTCAGTATAAAGGAATCGATAGAGACGTGAGATAATTGATGATGTGATTGATTTTGTTGACGTAATCATATATGTTCTGATCACTTGTTTAGAGACGCTCGGGCGGCTCGCTAACGTCCCAACAAGCTTTCCTAAGTCCAAGTGATTCGAATCCATCAAACATTAATACGGCGTTGTCTTCTTGTTCTGTATACCTGTACCATGTCAGCTGAGCCAACCGCAATAGAGGCGGTGCATGGAGCTTCGATAATAACAGTGCCGGGAGCTCTCGCACAACCTGTTTCAACGTGATATTAAGTCAATACAACTACGCATCTAAAACAATTTTCTCCATCGTTTTATCGACACTTTTGTGAAAGCTTTTGTGAAAGAGCATTGTCAATAATCGAAATCCGTCATTTTCTGAAACAGTGCGTAAATGTCGATAACATTGTATCAGTGTATTAGATAGAGACTTGGGGGTTTACGGCCAGTGTTGTATTTGTTGAGGAAATGGTGTTTGTAACAAAATGTTCCTGTGTGTTTGCAGAAGACGTGATCTTGTATTGTAGCAATGTATTGCATTTACTAACGATCTGAACGATACTAATGTAGTTATTGTTGTTCTGTAAAGACGTATAATGCATTTGATAACTTGATTTACATAATTATACAATATCCAATAAATACTGGAATCTAATGAATGATAGTGTAGGATTCAAATTACAGTTTTATTGAGCGTTGTAACAACAAGCGAGTCCTATATGGTCACGTTGTGTGGAGTTTTCCTTGGCGTCCCTGTAATGTCGCTTGGTTGTCGGGTAGAACAAGCGTTCTCAAAGGTGAGGATCGTTTCTGTGAGCTAACGAACCGCCGTCATATTTAGATGATGAATTTACTAATCACAGATTGTTCTGAACATTTTGTTAAATTGTGTACACAAAGGCTCATTTTATAACTGCAGAATATATTTTGAAACCACTCTTGTACAAATATAGAATTGCAGTTTCTAGATACGGATGCACATCACATGAATTAAATATTGAAACGGGAAGATATTCCAAAATCCCAAAGGAAATTAGGTTGTGTAAAATGTGTAATCTACAGCTAATAGAGGATGAGTACTATTTTGTTCTCATATCCCCATTTAAAGAACTGCATACCTACACCCATCAAAGTACCAATTTCCAAATATATTTAAGTTTAATGAATTAATGTCTTCTACAAAATTATGTTCTGAAGCCTTTGACTGCGTATATATCCAATGCAATGAATTTTAGAAATGATAGTGAGTGAGTATGGTTTTACGCCGCTTTTAGCAATATTCCAGCAATATCACGGCAGGGGACACCAGAAATGGGCTTCACACATTGTACCCATGTCGGGAATCGAACCCGGGTCTTCGGCGTGACGAGCGAACGCTTTAACCACTAGGTTACCCGACCGCCCCTTAGAAATGATAAGATGAATGACTTAAACAAGAAAAAATCAATATGTCCACCCCTATCCATAAAGATATGTACTATACGCCTATGGCCTTTCAGTATTTCTGTAATAAAGATTGATTGATTGATTGAACTAATCACGGCTCAAGTCATCACCTCCCAGTTTGTCCCAGTCATGTCAACACAGTCCAGTTATGTAAGAAAAGCCACTGTGAAGCTGTTCGAGAAAGCGAATGCTGTTTTCCAGAGATTTGCCTTTTAAATGATGTTTGAATAATCTGCTCAACCACGCACACCAGTGTGTAATAGCAGGAACAACAACCCACGCCGTCGGAATATACCACGACACACACTTTCAATCCTTCAACTTTACAGCTTGTCGGTGATTAACAACAATCGGTGGGATTATCCCTGACACACCAGACATCTTCGTGATAGACCTGTAATACAAGGAGAATGAACGGCAAGGAACTATTTTTAAGCTCTATACATCAATGTAATATGTGTAGGCTCAATGAACTATTAAATAACGTTCCCAATAAAGTTAGAGTGGGTGTCTCCAAGAAACAGAAAACACTGTAAAACATGCGTATCACCCTCGTCAAAGGCTCGCATAATACAGTTCATGTTCCTAATATAATCTGTATTTAGAGTTTGTGTCATTATGCTTCCATTATAAAAGTGAAACATATTGAAACGGCATTTTACCCTCATGATAATCGCGCTCTGTTTGACTCCAATCTCCATGTTGAGATTCTGCATCCATCTGTGTCACGACCATCTTAGTGGTTTCAGAGGTTTGGGTCACCTATTTGTATCCTGTTTATTTATAACAAAGTCGACATGAATATCATTTCAGCAGAGCCCTTACTTAGCACGAAGTAGCGTATTATACAGCACGTACATTTGAAACTCACTGATATACAGTGATGATATTAACAATTTGCAATATATAACTATAACGAAAGAAATCCCCGCGGGCTATATAATAGTATACCCGTATGGAAAAAGTAAGCTTCATGGTTAAACCATATAAAACCCACCTGTGTCATTAGCCTATTAAGCAAGGATAAGATGAACAACTTCTTTATTACAATTAGGAGCGACGTTTCGGTGTAGGTTCTAACACCGTTAAAAAGCAAGTGATGTATATTACTGACTTCACCGGTCAATATGTTTACTACCCTTATGTGTACATAACAGGCTTCTCCACTCCAGTGTAACTCCATCTGATATCTACTCTATTGTATAAACACTGCCTCCTACCTGTCTATATACTGGTCAACCGTACTCTGTACATCACTTGATTACGGTGTTAGAACCTACGCTGTATACATCGCCAGCAGGGCTCGAACCCGCATCGTGTCATTTAATAACCACCCGTGGAAATCCGGGGTAGAATAGGTGTTCAGCAACCCATGCTTGCCTTACAAGGCGACTATGTTTGTCGTAAGGGGCGACTTACGGGATCGGGTGGTCAGGCTCGGTGAATTGGTTGATGAATGTCATCGTATCACAATTGTGAAAATCCGGGTTAGAATAGGTCTTCAGCAACCCATGCTGTCTGAGGCGACTATGCATGTCGTAAGAGGCGACAAACGGGATCGAGTGGTCAGGCTCGCTGACTTGGTTGATGCATATCATCGTATCCCAATTGCGTGGATCGATGCTCATGATGTCAATCACTGGATTATCTGGTCCAGACTCCATTATTTACAGACCGCCGTCATATAACTGGAATATTGCTGAGTGCGGCGTTAAACAAACAAACAAAATCTGCAAAAGTTGACCTCGACTGAGGCATAACAGGATAGAGTGGTGTAAAGAAAACTATTTAATATAATATCAGATATTTGTATAATCCTTAAACGTTAAAACATGAAATGAAATAAAAGGTATAATGTGTTACATTGTGTTGCCTATAAAAAATGTCCTTGTTAAGGTATTAGATAAAGAGGAACATTAATGTGTCTTTGTTAAGGCCCCTGCATTTCATATAATCAGCTTGTTCTCAGAGCATGCAAACGATTGTTAGTACTCGTTACAAACCCACGTATTTGTACCATGCATTGTAAAGATCCTTGCGAGAAGTCCCCGATCTGAAACCTATTGACCATTAATGGGTCATTTTATGGCCGCAAACTCCAACCACCAGTGCAAAGCGTCCAGGAAATTGATGCAATGTCCCCCGTGAATAGCAACTGTCGCTACAACTACGGATACAAATTACAGGGAATGAAGCGGTCATCCATGGTTATCAACCGATACCGATTTTTAAATTACATATTTTGATGAGTCACTATACGGGCATTTACAAAGCGAACATGTCCACAACCACCTCCCTGAACTTTCATCTTCACAACCGGGGGCGGTCGGGTTGTTTCGCAGTTAATGCGTTCCCTCGTTACGCCGAAGATCCGGGTTCGATTCTCTACATGGGTCAAATGTGTGAAGCCCATTTCTGGTGTCACCTGCCGTGATATTGTGTGAATATTGCTAAAAGCGGCGTAAAACCATCCTCAATCACTCAAGTCTTACGACAAGCTACGGAGTGCTGGGGACCTGTTCTCACCCGGGTCCCCAAGAGCCTCGAAATGATATGTAAAACAGATTTTCATTGCTGCCAGGGACGTGACATGTGTCTGGGTTAGGGCGTCTTGCCTTGTCAACTCTGTTTACCTCATTGTAGTTCCGTTCAGCACTCCTTGCAGCATACCGATTTTCACCCAGGCCGTGACGCAACTTTCATCATTCAATGCAGTACACTCGCCGCTATATGTCTCCCGTCTTCAAACATGCAGCGCGGACTGCCTAGAATCCTGCGTACAGAGATTTCACAATTTCAAAAATAGCATTGTCTGTTTCAAAGAAAATGTAAACGTTCTATTCTTCAACGTTCTTATTAAAACAATTGCCGTAAAAAAGGTTTCAGTGGAATTTCTGTTTTTCTAAAAGATCGACATCAAATAATTGCTCCAGCAGGAGTAAGAGTATTACTCCTGACAGTCTCCCGCAAGGCAATAGAAGCAAGAGGATTTTAGGACTAGTGGAATCTCAGCGAGGCAATATAATGAGGAATAGTATTGAATAGACTCTTACACACTCCGCAAGGAAATACTGGACGAGTTCGATTTAGTTTAAACATATTTTATTCGTAAAAAGTGAATGGGATTGGGTACAAAATCTCCAACAGTAAAGACGTGTATTGGAAGAGTAGGACTCGTAGATTCTCCACGAGGCAGTACTGGAAGAGTATTATAGGACTCGTGGACTCTCCGTGAGGCAATAGAGGAAGAGTATTACAGGACTAGTGGACTCTCGCGTGAGGCAATAGAAGAAGAGTATGATAGGACTTGTGGACTCTCCGTGAGGCAATAAAGGAGTGAGTGAGTGAGTGAGTATAGTTTTACGCCGCTTTTTGCAATATTCCAGCAATATCACGGCGGGGGACACCAGAAATGGGCTTCACACATTGTACCCATGTCGGGAATCGAACCCGGGTCTTCGGCGTGACGAGCGAACGCTTTAACCACTAGGCTACCCGACCGCCCCCAATAGAGGAAGCGTATTATAGGACTCGTGAAATCTCCATGAGGCAATAGAGGAAGAGTATTATAGGACTCGTGGACTCTCCGTAAGGCAATAGATGAAGAGTATGATAGGACTAGTGGACTCTCCGTGAGGCAATAGAGGAAGAGTACCATAGGACTCTCGGACTCTCCGTGAGGCAATAGAGGAAGAGTATGATAGGACTCGTGGACTCTCGGTAGGGTAATAGAGGAAGAGTATTACAGGACTAGTGGACTCTCCGTAAGGCAATAGAGGAAGAGTATTATAGTACTCGTGGACTCTCCGTAAGGCAATAGAGGAAGAGTATGATATGACTCGTGGACTCTCCGTGAGGCAATAGAGGAAGAGTATGATAGGACTTGTGGACTCTCCGTGGGGCAATAGAGGAAGAGTATCATAGGACTCTCGGACTCTCCGTGAGGCAATCGAGGAAGGGTATGATAGGACTCGTGGACTCTCCGTAACGCAATAGAGGAAGAGTATTACATGACTAGTGGACTCTCCGTGAGGCAATAGAGGAAGAGTATTATAGGACTTGTGGACTCTCCGTGAGTCAATAGAGGAAGAGTATTATAGGACTTGTGGACTCTCCGTGAGGCAATCGAGGAAGGGTATGATAGGACTTGTAAACATATTTTATTCGTAAAAAGTGAATGGGATTGGGTACAAATTCTCCAACAGAAAAGACGTGTATTGGAAGAGTAGGACGAGGCAGTACTGGAAGAGTATTATAGGTCTCGTAGACTCTCGCGTGAGGCAAGAGTATTATAGGTCTCGTAGACTCTCGCGTGAGGCAAGAGTTTTATAGGTCTCGTAGACTCTCGCGTGAGGCAAGAGTATTTATAGGTCTCGAAGACTCTCGCGTGAGGCAAGAGTATTATAGGTCTCGTAGACTCTCGCGTGAGGCAAGAGTATTATAGGTCTCGTAGACTCTCGCGTGAGGCAAGAGTATTGTAGGTCTCGTAGACACTCTCGTGAGGCAAGGGTATTGTAGGTCTCGTAGTCTCTCGCGTGAGGCAAGAGTATTACAGACTCGTGAACTCTCCGTGAGGCAATGGAAGGGATAGTATAATAGGATTCGCTGACTCTACTGTGAGGCGAGAGTATAATATACGACTAGCGAGCGATGCTCACATTCAGTTCAAAATTGTTACCGCCACACTTCGCCTATTTCCAACGAATGACCCTCTAAATTAATATTAAGTGCCTAAAGAGCGTTGTGTCTATAATAAGAGAGTCGGGAAATGAGTCGGGAACTGTAGCTTGGCATGAATTAGTTGAAAAAATACATTGTAATGTCAGAGGCGGTTGGAAGGTCACGCTTGTCGTCTGCCACCAAGTAGCTGGAACCCCGTACAACAAATCCGGGGCTGGAGTGAGGTTTTGATTCGCTTTCATTTACAATTCCCAACAACGCTAGCGCATCAGTAATGGGCTGTGTATCGATCGACAGTGTCTGTTTTCGGATAACGAACCACAATCTTCCTAATGCTCCACTGCAGCTCGAAATAGCGCCGAAGCGATCACGGTTCATTTTTTAGCCGCTGCAACTTGGTCATATATCTCGTCCTCTGGATGACAGCCGTGATTTTCACAGTCGGAATGGTGCGGGAATATGTCGGTACTGCGCGAGACAAACAACCTCTCCTTAACAACAACAGTGTGCAGATGGGGACCGTCAGCTGACGGAGAACAGAACAGAGGAGAAATAAATCCACCATCAATGGCGGCTGCAGTTCAAACATCCACAACCAGACGACCATGATTTGCACGATGAGATGGCTTTAAAGGAACATCGCGAGCGCGCTGGACTTGGGAGGGTATTTGAAAACGTGCTTAGTTATTATGTCCCCTGGATCAACTAGGATCTCATGTGACCTATGTCCAGATCACTTGGGCGTGCAACAGCCTTAATGCCTTGTCAGAGAAACCCGCGATCTTTTCTGTCTATGTCTCCTCGAGCGTTTTGAGATTACCCCACTGAGATCAATGCAGCCTACTTACTTAAGTAGTGACCCGGGGACTGGAGCAAATAGATTTAAGGATTTCTTGCATTACGTGTTTGTCATGATAAGAATCGCCTGTATACGGATTAATTCAAAATAAATATACTTTGAATAATGATTGATGTATACTAGTAAGTGTTGAGAACATTAACAATTTTTTTTTTTTGCAAAGGGTGACATGTTTCTACAATAAAAATTGAGTTTAAGGGACCATACAGAGGGAAATGGCTTCGAAAACGTCACATTTAATTATTTTCTGTCCGATCTAGAAAATACTGTCGGAGGCACGGATGGCCTTGTCGTTTTGCAGAGTTCGCTCTGATTGTATTTCCAGGTTTGACAGCACCAAACCCGCTCTCGAGGGTTTCACCCAAGTGGCAAACTTGCATCACTTCCGGTTTTCCTCCCACATCAAACTGATACCCCGTGATATAACTGAAATACTGTTCAAAGCTGCGTAAATTCAACTCACTAACTCATTCACAAGAAGACACCATGACTACTTCCATTTGGAATTTAAACAAATATAATCTTTGTTGAAACCTGTGTACTGTTACTGTAAACTCTGGGGAGGACCATCTTGAAACTGGAATACAAAAGCAATGAAAGCTCGGATATTTGATACACACCAGCATGAGGTGAAGTAAGGTAAAATGAGGTTTCGCGTCGCGTTTAAGATAATTGCACTTATATGGCAACGCACATGCACGAGTAGGTGCGCACCCCATTGCAACCGAACACCACCACACCACCATCACCTTCCCGCGGATCACCCAGTGTATTTAGAAGCGGAGCGGTTGATGTTCCATTTTCTAATTGAATGGATACATTTTGAAATGTCGTTAGAACCTGTGCTTTATAACGGCTTAATCAATTTTTTTTTTAAAATAATGCTACATTTCTACTCTCTTGGGATGGAAGCGCATACATGCAATCAGGAGACCTGCATCTGACACTTGATTTATTACGCTGTGACACGAATGTGTTGCGTCTTTATGACCCTGTCATACAACCGCTAGGTGGCGTGACGATACAGTCCATAATGTACTTGTTTCACTCGGCTTGTTCCGCTACCTACATACCACCTCGGTCAGTAGTGTTTGTTTGTTTGTTGTTTAACGCCGCACTAAGCAATATTCCAGCTATAAGACGACGGTCTGTAAATAATCGAGTCTGGACCAGACAATCCAGTGATTGACATCATGAGCATCGATCCACGCACATGGAATGCGATGACATGCATGAACCAAGTCAGCAAGCCTGACCACCCGATCCCGTTAGTCGCCTCTTACGACAAGCATAGTCGCCTTTTACGAGCAAGTATGGGTTGCTGAAGACCTATCCTACCCCGGATCTTCACGTAGAGTGGGGATACTGCAGAACGTCTCTGTTAATCACGTCATGCCAGATACGGTATAAAATGACAGCTTGAGTACAGGTTGTCCTGCGCTTAACAAAGTCACGACATGGGTGAAAAACTGCCGATGTGACACTACACTTTAACTGTTCCTAGTAAACACTGTGATTTGAACACAAAAGTAAACGGAAACAATTTGAATTGTTACTGTAATACAATACTGCCACCAGACCGTGTTGCATCCTGTGATAGTCGGGGGCACGGGTGGCCCAGTCGTCTAAGGCGCCGCGATTCGCTGTGCAGAGTTGCGTCCCTTGGGCACGCAAGAAACCTATGATTGTGGGTTCGAATCCCGGTTCGTCCCGATTATGTTTCTAGGTTTGTCAGCACCATACCCGTGCTCGTGGGTTTCACCGAAGCGGTAAACATCTGAGACCTGCATCACTTCGGGCTTTTCCCCCACATTAAGCTGACACGCCGTGATATAACTGGAATACTGTTAAATGCGGCGTTAAATCCAACTCACTCACTCACTCACTCCTGTGATAGTCACGTGCACGAAACAGGTTCCAACATGGATTCCTGCCAGCGTTGGCCGAAGTCCTTTGGACCCCCCCCCCCCCCCCCCCCCCCCCCCCCCCACTCACACACACACACACACACACACACACGCACACACACACCTCCAAACAAAACCTACTTTTTCTGAAGCCTTAGTATGTCCTGAACATGAAATCATATGTTAACATTGAAAATATAGGGATGCACTTCCTGTTTTCATCATATGTGTGGAGGTACCCTAAAAAATCGCCATTTTGCCATCCGCGTCGAGCGTCATTTTTGTACTGTAACAAAAAGGTAAATAAATGTCTTT